CGGTCGATTACGTGGGAGTCCAGCGACATAGCCATTACGCTAACTGCTGGTTCCCTGTTAACCAATTCTTATGTATCCTTCCAAATGACTTTATTTCACATACAAGCACATGATAATAGGCAAGGGGTCTTCAAAAAGTTTGTGAAAAACAGAATTAAATATAAGTTTATTTTGGTGCAAAACAAATTTTTAAATCCATCAAAAGTTTATTTTTAATAATATACATACTCCATGATTTTTTTATTGTTCTACCTTTTCTCTTTTCATTATTTCTATTTAATCACTGTACATCTTTATATTGTGCATGGTTTTTGCCAGTCTGAATACAGTGCATATTACTCAAGCCAAAGACATTGCCATATACATTATCATGAACAGATGACTTTTCATTTGTTTCTATTAAGAGTTTCATTTATTCCATGAACTTTTTGAACACTTGTGCAAAGATGAGATTGCACATTGCTGGGTTGCTTGCTTTTTGAACTTGAACATTTGTATTAGATATATTTCTATATTATCATAGTGACTAGTTCTTTTTATTTGATAGATATATTATTATTTATTCAGCCTCATATTTACAAGCATGCTTTGCTTCTACAAATATGGCTGAAATAACTGTTTTTTTTGTTTTGTTTTCTGGGGTTTTTTTTTTGGGGGGGGGAGGTTTTTGCTATTGGGTACATGTGCTTGCCAGAAAGACAGAAAGAGACAGAGCGACAGAAAGCAAGAAATCACCCCATTCCCCCAAGGAGGATGGCCATGCCACAGTCCCTTCTCTTCTCCTCTGAGGATCTTGGGCATGCACACACATGTGTCTGGCGTCAGTTTAAGCCATCAGGTCCAGGACTCGAACCATGGTCTACTACGTGAGAGTCCAAACCAGGTTCTACTCGGTGAGAGCCCAGCATTTTAGCCATTATGCCATCTGCTGATCCCAATAATTTTTTTTAACTTCAAACTTATATCTGACACTTTTGACACTTTTAGAACTATCATAGGAATGACTTAATTTTGTAAACACAATAAGTGAAATACATTGAAAAGATAGCAATCACCCACTTTCAGATCACTTATGTTACTTTAATATTTTTATACATAACATTTCTTACATACATATCTTTGTCTAGGAAACTGGTTTATTAAATGGACCGAATTTAATAAATACAAACTAAAAGATTGTCTTGCTATTGTTTTATTTTAGCACTGCCTTTAACAGTGTTCTCAAATTATGGCCCTTGATCGTTAACACCAATATCACCTGGAAATTTAAGAATAAAAACTCTCAGACCTCAGAGATTCTCTCTCTAGAACTACTGAATCAGAAACCCTGTGAATGAGGTCAGCAATCTGTGTTTCACAAACTTTCCAAAGTGCTTCTGATACATACTAAAGGGTTAATGATCATGGCTCTAACATCTCTCCCATTCCTACTCCTAGCAGATACCTCAGGAAGATTCCTTAGCCTTCTCTTTTCATTCAATCTCACTATTTCACTTTCAGTCATAAGAATATCTCATTGAGTTTAAATGGAAAATTTAAATTCACAACAATTTAAAGTGTGAACCATGACTTAGTATGTAGGAAAGAGGAAGATTGTCTATTCTTACATTTTCATTCTTTCTTATTCTCACTCACTCTAATATTTGCTAATCTCTCTCCTCTGAAATGCTAAAACTTGGGAGACTACCTGAGAAAAAGAGGAAGCCACCTCCGAGGTGATTTGTGCTGTGTAATTCGGTCATCAAGGTTCTTAATGAGGCAGGTAACCAAACGTGAACTGTTCGGAAGATCTCCACAAGCATCTCTAATTTGCTGTTCCTTGACAGTATTAGTGCACTATCTAGCTGACCTCTTTTGTCTCCTCACCCAATCAACCCCAATCTTCTCCCTCTTCAGCCTCTGCCCTCAGCAGTCCATAGCATACACTCTTATTGCTGGAAT